TGTGTGTATGTGCCTTAGAACAATGGCTTTAAATTAAAAGTGGAAATCAGCGGCAAAATATGCACAGCTGTCTCTCTCTATCTCGGCCAATCCGCGCAACAACTGTCGCCCTCGCTCTCTTCGGCTGGTATTCTGGCATTCTACAATAGCCTGCATTAAACATAATACGTGTAATTATTATCATTTTGTGTCAGTTTCTATATGGCCTATGTGCAGTTCAGTGGCGTCCGCTGCTGGGGTATTGCGTACAAATTGATTCCCCTTTAGTTTACTATCGAAATTTCATTTCAATTAAAATTAACTTTAAATGGTTATCTTCTCTATTAATTTTGGCTTTCAGTTTTTTCTAATGTCTACGCTTCTGTCTCTCGTTTCAATCTGAATTCCAAAATTTATTTTCTCCGCTTATAAAGAGTTTGCCCTCCAATATATCCCCCTCTGCCTTTTCTTGTGCTGTTTCTTCTCTTTCTGCTGAGTTACCTCTGTCTCGCTCTCTCCCGAATTCGGATTTAAATATATGTAGGTAAGCATAAATATAAATCTTGCCATATCTTTCATTCTCTTAAGCCCGACTTCTCTTGCTCCAAAAGCAATGGATTGTTTATATATTATGTTATACTATTAAATTTATATTATCAAATTAATATTCAATATTTAAATATATATTTGTTTAAGATAAGCTAAAACGATAAATATTGTTTTAATTTAAGTGTGGTTTTATTGTGATTTTCATTCGTTTCACTTCCACATGTCGCAGTTTTCTGTCTGTCTCCCTCTCTCTCTTCATGTCCTCTTTCCTTCTCTTACAGCTTTATATGTTTTACCTACTCTACCTATCGGCAGTTCACAGAGATTTCCACCCCCCTTTGGACTACGCTACTGTTTCTGGTTCTGTTGTCGAGTTCAGCAGGCCACACGAACATTGCCAATTTATCGTTGATTGTTAACTATTTATTAACGAATAACTTTATAAATAAGCTGTGCACACACACACACACACACACACACACACACCGGGTCAATCGTTCATTTCAGTTGCATTTGCAAAATGCAGTTTTGTCATAGTGCTATAGCAAACCCGATATTCCAATCACGGGGCAGCGAGCGGGCGGAAAGATGGACTCATTAGCGTCTGCAGTAGCTTTTGATTGATTTTAATTTGTTGTTCGATTAGTGGTGCTCATTCAATCCCAATTTGATTGCAATCAATCATAAATTGGGCAAATTTATCGCGCCTCTGGTCTGCAAATTTTGGCTGCTTATTTCGACACCTCTCACCTGCGTACGCATCGTTCATTTTTCTGACATTTTAAAAGTTAATTGAAAAGTGGTTTTCAATTAAATTTCATTTAATTCGAACACTGAGTGCGTTATCATCCAAGTTGATGCAGTTGATTCAGTTTGGTTGTGTTCGTTTAAAGTGAATCGGTTTAAGTTGTGCTTGAACCAGTTCAAGTTTCAGATATTCAAAAAAGTTAATCCCAATAACACGCTCTCATTTAATCTTAATTGTGAACCGTAACAAATGTATTTTGTGTTCAATTTGCAATTGGCAAAAAGTTTGTATAATATTTACTAACTCAAATTTAGGTGCTTTATAAATTTATATATTTAATACATTTGCTTCAGGGCATTTTTTGACCAAATCTCGTATTTAAAGCCATGCGCCTAAATGTATGCAATAAAACTTAATGTATGGTTCATGGATAGTTGCCAATAGCATTTGTCAAGCAGGTTGACCAAATCTCTCTGCTGAATACCAGGTAATACGCATTTAGAAATTTGTTATCTTTTCAACTGATTTCTATAATCGCATTTGGCTTTGTTAGCTTTGAAAATAAAGAGGGAGCGAGAGAGGGAGGCTGGTGTGTGTCAGGCTTATCTTGTTTCTTTTGATATAGGCACATATGTATGTATGTATGTATGTGTGTGCCTCAATGCAATCTATACACAAATTTTTAATTTGTCCTCGACTGTAAAAATATGCTTAGGCAGGCAGTCAGATGGCCGAAGGCCAGGTGGTAGCCAGGTAGCTCAGGTCCTGCGGCCGCCAACAAGTGCCAGCAAATGTGCCATGAAGAAACCATTTAGGATTAGTTTAATATGATACAAGCACACACATGCACACACTTACGTTGTCACACACAATGCGAGAGGGAAGCCACAGTGGATAAGGCAGCTGAAATAGGCAAACAGTACTTAAAAATGGCCAAGCAGCAACAAAATGTTGACTACTTAGACACGCTCACACACACGCACACACAATAATACAGACAAGGACAACACTGTTAGCAAGTAGCGCAGCGCAGAAGCAAAAAGAAAGCCAAAACAACAAAGGACAAGAAAACAAGCTAGAATGCTCGACTCAAAGATACCCTGAACCTCGAGCCGAGCTGCCGTTATGCATGCACGCAACAAAATACACAAACACATACATACTTGTGCTTCTTCTTCCCTTGGCCCCACACAACATATTGGAATTGCACTCTTGATTAACTTTTGGCGTTTTTTCCTATCCTTCCAAACAAAATAGTTGATTATACACTACGATAACCTACTCTAGCTCTTAATAGCTTCGAGATATGCTGAAAAAATCCTAATCTGTAGATCGATTAATATTGTTTTATCAAAACGTAATGAGCTATCGATCATTTGAATAAACTTGATTTGTGCGGGCAATAGATTGGCCTACGTATAAAATTTAAATTCGCTTCGTATATGGTACTACATGGCTATATCATCTTGTCTATTGATGCTGATCAAGGATATATATATCACTAAACTGATATACCCGTTTAGTCATTTATAACGTGTTCAGGGTATATGAACATCATAAGGAATGAAAAGAAAAGTTGAGCCGGCATAAGAACACGGACAAGCAAAATATTGGTTAGCTAAAGAAAGCACCATTCCGCCCTCAACAAGACAAAAAAAAAAAAAAAAAAATGAAAAAAAAATGACAAATTTGCAAATGTTAAGACGAAAAGAAAACATCAACATAAGTTATAGGCTTAGTTCGTAATCGTTTTTCGTAAAACGATGGCAGCCAGCGACAGCAGCAGCCGGAGCACAGGAGGCGGCCAAGGATGAGCCACAGGATGAGGCACAACAGCGGCGGCAGATGCCGTGCTAGATGTTTGCGGCTTAATCAGGCCCATTTATAGCGAATTGCAGCAGGGCGGCAACTGTACACGCTACAACAATCGATAAACCAACTACAGCTATCGATAATTATGCAATGATCAAGGGCAAAGTGTTGTCGATAATTACAGATATTTGGCGATTTAATCAAATTGTGTTTACCAACACTGGCTAAAAACCACCAACATTCCAATTAGTTTTCTAATCAATTGTAATTACTATCGATACTTTTTAATAATCGACGTGGTATCGATAGCAACAATTGAACTTTGGCTTACTTAGTTAATGCAATTACTCAATTTATCTGTCAACTATGCCTCAAATAGCTTATCAAGGCAGCAGCAGCAGCTGACCACTCAGCCACTGTAGCCTCTCCCCCGCCAACGCCGCCGCACCCCCCCCCCCCCCCTGCCATTGGCGTCCACAGGATTCCTCGTTGTTCAAATTAAAAATGCATAAAAGCAAAAAATGTGAAATTATTGTGATAAAATAAACACAGAAAAGCAGCCGCAGCGCAACACTAAACTACGTGAATAATACAAAGAGAAAGAGACAAAGACAGAGAGAGAGACACCGACCGTGAGAGAGAGAATAAGAGAGAGAGAGAGTGAGAGAGAGAGAGTGAGGCAGGAGGGGGTAATAAGAAAAAAGAACGTGACATTGGCCTGGCCACTGTGAGGAGTCGGTTCTCGGGGCTGATGATGTGGATAAAATAAACATGGGACATTGGTTTCGGTTTGGTGCGATGAAGAAGGGGGGGGGGGGGGGCATGGATGGGGTGGTGTATTCAACAAGGACAAGACAGACGAAAGCGTGTTTAAACATTAAAAGGACCATTAGATACGCCTTAAAGTATGCTTCAAGTAGATTATCTTCCATCAGTTTTGTTTGCTTACTTGGAATTGTTTCGCTTCATTTTTCTCGTTTGCAAACACACACATATACACCCACACACACACACACACACACACACACACACACATCTCTATTTGGCTATGGGTGTACTTTTGTGTGTGCGTGTCCTTTCTGCACGGCTCAAGTCGTTCGCCTTGGCTTTACTTTACTGTACTGTACTTTATATTGCCTCGCACAGTGAGGCGTCATTTGATGGTCCATGGGCCACAGAGCTAGCCGGGATGGGCCAGCGAGTCGGCGTTATTATAAATTGTGCGCGTGTCCTTGTAAAATAACATCAAGTGAACCTAGAGGCCAGCTCTCCCTGCCCTGCCCTGCCCAGCCCAGACCAGCCCAGCCCAGCCCTGCCTAGCCATTGCAAGATTTGTCCCTGTGCTGCTTCTTAAATTACCAAGAGTGCGCGTTTTGTGGCGCTTATTGCTTTGCCCCGCCCACTTGGCCGCATTTAAGTAAAGAGCAAGAGAGAAAGAGAGAGCGAGAGAGAGGTAGGGATTGCGACAAACTGTAAAGCCTTGACTCAATTTAAAGCTGCATTAGCTTAATTTAAGACGTAAAAACTATACTTATCCTCACTTTTACAAACCTAACCTAACTTATTGACAACTTTATAGCATATCATAAAAAACTGTATTCGCTTGATATCAGTTGACTTTCAGCCAACCACAACTATCTGATTAAAAAAAAAAACTTGAGTCCAATTATAGCAGCAATCGGTTAATTTCAATTTGCCTTAACCTGACATAACCCCACTCAATTCAACGTAGCCTAACTTAATCTAACCTCACTTATGGGCATCAGCTGCAATTGCTGCCAATTAGTCAAAATTATCAACTCAATTCCATTAAAACGTATCAGCACAATCGGCTGCAATTACATTAGCGCCTGGCTGTTTGTGGTACCCTGCGGCGTGTCCTGGCCGCCATTCAACCCGGAACGACGTCCACATGCGGCACGCTGGCCTATTGCTACTCTTTAGCTGCTGCCTCAGTCTGGCGCGGGGCCAACTCTTCAGCCTGCCGACTGTCGATCGGGACATGCAGGAGCTGGCACAGGCCACGTTGCACGTGGCCAGTCGCTACATTGCCACAAGGATCAATACGCTGGTCGTGAGGCGGCACTGCCTTCAGTGCGGCAATGCAACGGATCATCAGCAGCGGCAGCTTATCGACCAGCTGCTGCGGCAGCTGGCGATGCACATGACACTGCTCCTGTACAGGGGCGCCTCCGATGAGCAGCCCTGGGACTACACGCTCTTCGTGGTGAATGAGGCGACAGCTTTTGAGTGAGTAAATCAACTAGTTCCGGATTTTCCTCCTCCTTTTCTTCATCTCACTTTTCTATGTTCTGTAATCTTTCTGTTTATCTCTCAAACCTTTTTGTGCCCCTCTAACTCTTTTTGTGTCCTTGTCTCTCCCTCTCGCTCTCTCATTCTTTTTATCTTACTTCGTTCTATATCTTTTCTTTAAAGTTATATCTATTTCTCTCTTATTATTCTTCTCTCTATTTCTCTTTGTAACCTTTATTGTTTTGTATCTTCAACCCCCCTTCTTATAACCTAACCTAACCTCATTCTAATTCTCTCTCTCTCTCTCTCTCTCGCTCTCGCTCTTATTTAGGCAACTCTATCTGAACTATACGTACCTCCTGCACGAACGGGAGTTCTACTTTCTGGTGGTGCTCATGACTCGCCTGCCGGAGCCAGATCTGCAACGATCGGTGAGTAAGATCTGCTTTGTGGCTCTCGGGAAGCGCGTCATCAACGTGGTGGTCCTGGCGCAGCAATACGATGGCGGGATCGCCCTCTATGCCTATAGACTGTTCCGCGAGCACTGCGAGCCGGGAATACATGCCTATCAGAGCAATCGCTTCCTGGCCAATGGCGAGCTTCTGCATCCGCAACTGTTTCCCACACGCTTCACCAATCTGAGCCACTGTGCGCTCAATGTGACCGGGCATCAGTTGCCGCCACACTTCATGTACCGACCGGCAGATGGCGCCGCCTTGCCAGAGGAGGGTGCGCTGATCAATATGCAAGACCTGCGCGGCATTGATGGGGAGCTGCTGAGTCTGCTGGCGAGAGCGCTGCGTTTTAACATTAATCTCAAGATACCCATGGAGAAGAGCGAGATCTTTACCGCTGACAGTATGAACGGCTGCTTTGCACAGGTGAGTCCACAACACTTGCAGGTTCGATTTAAGAACTGTAACCGACTTTTGTGTGTGCTAGAGATTGAGTTTTGTGCCTGTTTGTAAAAGTACGAAAATCAATGGCACGAGAAATAGCTGCGTAAAATATGGGCCAATATCTGAATATTATCGAAACAAATAAAAGAAAAGACATTAATACGGATGTAGTTGTTAAATAATAATATTCCGAAAAATTCAATAAAGATATTCGTTGCAAAATTGAAGAAAACAAAATTGAAAAAAAAAGCCCAGCACGTTTTTTATAGTGTATTTTCGTGGCTTGACCAAAATGTGAATAAATCTCAGTTTATCGAATTAGTTGAGAACAAGTTCTATTAAGGGTAGCCACATATTAAAACTGAGTTTATGCGAAAGCATTATTTCCCATAGGATCCATGTTTTAAGGCAGATATGTTGGGGAATAGTGAAGCTTTAAAAACAGCAAGTTATAGTAGTCGTATTTTGATAAGAATGTAGGATTTAGGAGCATAGCAAACTTGAGATATCTCGAAAAACAACAAAGAATTTAACTCTTAACAATTTGATATAGTGGTCCGATACGACCTATAATAGAAATGGGACCAGAGACGTCTGCGCTGTATCCACACCATAAAGAGCGAATCACCTACTGATATATCATATAATATCCACATTTATAATATGGTCTTACTAAATAAGAGAATTTCTTTTGTGTTTTTTTCGCCCCCAGCTGGCATCGGGGCAGGCGGATTTGGCCATTGGCGGCTTCAGCGGCTCGGATAAGCGTCGCCTGCAGTTCTCCACCTCGGTGGTGTATCATCAGAGCTATTTTATCTTTGTGGTGCGCATGGAACAGTTTTTTGGGCCCTTTGGCCAAATGATGCGCCCCTTTGGCCGCTTCGTTTGGCTCTGCCTGTTGGGCACGCTGCTGGCGGCTCTGATCTGTACTCGGTGCATGCGGACGCGCTGGCGTCTAAAGCATCCGCTGGAGAATCTGTTGGCCACATCCGTTGGCAATGCGGTGCCCGTGCAGCGTTTGCCGGTAAGCGGCTTCCTGCGGCACCTGCTGGCCAGCTGGCTGCTGCTGACCCTGGTGCTCCGCTGCGCCTACCAGGCGAAGCTATTCGATGTGCTGCGCACGCACCAGCATCAGACGCTGCCCCACGGACTGGCCGGGCTGCTGCAGCAGAACTATACGCTAATCAGCACGGGCTATCATGACTTCTATCCCCGCGAGCTGACCCGCGTGATCGATGGCAACTTCTCGGAGCGCTATCAGCAGGTGCAGCAGGCGGCGACGGGGGAGCGCCTAGCGACCATCTCTCTGATCAACAATCTGGCCCACTGGAATCGCTTGCATCGGAAGAACAGCCATCTGACCCATGTGCGCGAGCCGATCTATTTGTATCAGCTGGTCATCTACTTTCCCAACAACTCCATCTTCAAGTTCTCCTTCGATCGCAAAATCGAGCAGCTGCTCAGCTCGGGCGTCCTCTCCCACATCGAACGCCGCTACCTGCCCGTCACCTTTGTCGACATGAGCAACAACATGGAGCGCGTGACGCGCATCACCAACGACATGCTGCGCGGCCTCTATCACTGCTACGGGGCTCTAATGACCCTCGCCGGATTACTCCTGCTCCTCGAGCATCTGGCGCTTCGTTGGCCTGCGCTGCGGCGCCTCTTCGACTGGCTGCAGTAAGGTCTGCGGCTCTCCCTTATCTAGTTTATTGATTTTGTTGGCAACTCTTGGCAAGCTCGGCCACTCAAGAGCTTTGAATGCTTTCAGCCTGGTTAATGGTCAACTGAAATGCTATCCTTGCTGCAACTGCTCCTTGTGCGTGCCTGTGTGTCTCTCTCTCTCTCTCTCTCGCTCTTTCCCTGAATTTGTTGCTCACATGCCCTTAACAATTGATTTAAGACTTGTAATGCATGACCAACAGCACTTCCAGTTCACGCGCCCCTCCAACGCCTCCCCATTCCCACCTAGCCTTATCCATTGGCATCTGTGTGTGTGTGTGTGTGTGTGTGAATGCGTGTGTGTGTGTGTGGAGCAGCGGCAACTGGCCAAGCGGCACGGAGCGCCACTTGAGTTAAGCTGCGCAAACGTTTGCATAATCACGTTCCATTTTAAATTGCTCTATTTGCCGCTCTCTTTCTCTGACCCCCCCCCCCCCCCCTTCCCACCCTCCCCGCCCCACACTCTTTCCCTCTCGTCATCTCTCAAATTGGAAAAACTGGACAATTTTTATTAGCTGTCGCCGCTGGACATTCGACCAACGCTCCTCAGGCATTCGTCCCACCTTTCGTCTCGCCCCTCGCCTGCCCCACACTCTGGCCAACTGTTTGTTGAGTGTGCTGGAACTATGGCAACATTAGATTGTGTTTTTGATTTCCTTCTATCTCTTTATACGCCCATACTACGCTCAAGTGGGCGTGGCATTGCTGCTCTAAATGCATGGAACTCGGTCGAAACCAGCCCGCATTTTTACCCTGCACTATTTTCAGTCACTTGTAGAGAATATTACCCCAAATATATATTTATATATATATATATTCATGATCTATCAACAGCCAAGTAGCTATAGCTACGTCCGTCTGTCCATCTTATATGCAAGCTATCCGCTGTCTTAAGCCTTTCTTGCTGCTGGCACGACATATTTATGTCGGAGGTAGCCGGATTCGACGACTATGTCATATTGCTCTGATAGGAAGAATCAGTCAATCATTGAGTTTTTGCACAAAACACATTCTTTATTATGAGCAAAATCCAATCGAAATCGGACTAATTCATCATATTGCTTATCCGAGGAATCGGTCGAAAAATTGGTTTTGGTAAGGAAATTTCAAGAACTCGTTATTATAAGTATTCATTCATAATAAAAAACTAGAACAGTTTCTTGATTTTTCCAAATTTAACAAGTTCTAAGCTGTCGATTAAAACGGTCAGCCTGATATTTCTTAATAAACAAGAAGAATGACGAATAAATATACTTTCCAGAAATTGTAGAAAAATAACAAGTTTAGCTTTAGCTCTAAAGGGGGGTTCACCGATTTCCCGGTTTGTAAATAGTTCACCAATGATCTAGTTCGCTAATCCCAACGAGTTCGCGAGTACTTTGGACTTTGGAACAAGTTCAGCAGCGATTACATTTTGGTTAACAAAAAATAATTAAAAAATACGTTAAAAATTTACTATTTATTTATGAAATTTGGAGTAAATTATCACAGAGTATTTTCGTACATACACCGATTGCAATCTACGTTTTATATTCAAACCCAAGAATATAAGGGAACCAGATCAACTCCTCAAGGCTCGTCTTAAGGCCTTCTTTGGGAGTTTCGTTCTTGTTAACGATTTGCTAGTTTCTGTACTCCGTTTTCCATTCAGCTAGTTCCGTTTTGGAACTAGTTCGCTATGGCCAATAATTGCACTTCTCATTGCGTACAATGGGATAACCGCTGAGGCCATCATCTGGCTGACATTTGACTGCCGGGACGCGCTTGCCTGTGCCGGGATTGGCCTGGTTGCGATGGTAGTTAAGGGTGAGCCTTTCCCAGTCATAGATCTGGTCCTTTTTAATGTACAGCTTGATACTCAGCTGGCGGAACATCTTGCGCAGCTTGTTATAGTCGGGCTTGGCATCGAAGCCCAGCTTGTGGCAGTAGTTGAGGTACATGGTGAACTCGCTGGGATATCCCTGGCAGAGGATCTCGTTGCTAATGGAACGCTTCATCTCGTAGATGCGCTCATATTTCTGATTCTTTGTGGTGGCCTTTATGCCCTGCCAGGGCAGGCTGCCGCGCAGAAAATAGATGAGCACATAGCCAACGGAGATGAGATCATCGCGACGCGACTGCTCCAAGCCCTCGTGCGAGGAGACGGACGCAAACCGTGCGGTGCCCGTCAGGCTGCTATTCTCGCGATAGGGTATATGGACATGGGTAATGGGATCCCAGTACTTCTTGGACAGCCCAAAGTCAATCAGATGCAGGCGTTTGCAGGTGAGGTCGCGACCAATCAGAAAGTTATCCGGCTTTATGTCCCGATGGACGAAGCCACGCCCGTGCACCTGCTCCAGGCGCAGCAGCATCTCGTCCGCCACCATCAGCACCGTCTTCATGGTAAAGGCCCGGCTGCAGAACTCAAACAAATAGTTCAGCGATGGCCCCAGCAGCTCCATGACCAGGGCACAGTAGTCGTCCTCTTCGCAGAAATAATGGATGTGCGGCAGGCCCAGAGCCGGACGTATTGCCTTGTAGACGCGATACTCATAGGCCAGCTGCGGATGCTGGATACCAGCCTTCTCCATTTTGATGGCCACACGCTCGCCAGTGTACAGAGATGTGGCCAAATAGATGTCCCCAAAGGAGCCGCTATCAAACTGGCCCATCAGCTTGTAGTCGCCCACAAAGGTCTCGCGCGCCTCGTTATCGCACAGCTTCTCCATTGCGGGCAATCGATTCCCTATGTGTGCCCGCCACTCGAATTAAAGTATAGCTTTAACAACAAATTTCAGTTTACAGATATGACTACAATTTTTGAAGCTAACGATCATATTGAGACTAAGCTTCCAAATTGAAGTTGACTTTAGCAGCAAATAACACTTAACTCTCAACGCTTAAAGCTTCTTTAAAAATATTCAGTTATTAAAATTTAACTTAAATTAAACTTAAAGCTCGACTAGCAGGCAGAAATTTCACAAGCTTCAAAAATCCAAGCTGCAAAGGGCTTAAAGTAATTGAAAAGTTTTAAAACACTTGCAAGTCTCCCCCTGGATTAAATGTATTGCGTTAGCTAAGTAACGCATTTCTGAGTTAAAGCTCCATCATGCGTGTAAAGCAGCTTTGCTTTATAAGAAAGCTTTGCAAGCTCATGAAAGTAGCAAGCTGCTTAAAGCTCGAGGCCTTTTTAAAGGCATATTAAAGCACATTATTGTCTGAAAGCTATTTTCACTTATTTTATTTTGTATTATACTAAAAAACGTAGCTGTTTGTAACTTAAAGCTTCATCCTTATTGTTTAATATGCTAAAATATTTAATTGAACCACCTTTTTTTTGTTTTTGAGCTTTTGGATGAACCTTTTGTAATAACAAACATTTTCGAACTGAACATTTACAATTCCAATTAATATTCGATTGTACTTATCAAAGTATGTCCTTTCCAATATGGTACCCCATTTAAAGTTGTTCTTGTTTTAAAATTACATTTAATTTATATTCTTTTCAAGGCAGATGAGCTAAGGAATCGGCTCGCAGTTGCCTGAAGTCTTAAAGCGCCCATTTGAGCACACACATATGATGACGGCGATGGTGGCGGATGGTCTGACATGGTCTCGGCTGCCAGTCTCCAGCTCCACACACGCACACATGGAGACTGCAGTGCGTGTGCGTATCGATTATCTGTGCCTTGCACGCTAGCAGACGGCGACAATCCGTACAAGGATGAGGCGTATGACAAGGAGCAGGGCAACAGCCACGATGTGGCTGCGACGGGCAACAGGGGCAGCAGTAGACGGAGACAACGGATCAACTAGCCAGTAATAATGTCTTTCGCTGACATTTGACATTTTGGCTATATTTCACTCACTTTGTGACAACTGGCAACTTGGCATTCAAATATAACCAGAGCGGAGCTCACAGTGCCGCCCCAGCCGGATCGCCCATGCCCCAGTTGCCATTCCCATACCCAAACCCATTCTCATTCCCATTGCCGATACCAATTCCATTCCCATGCCAGTGTTCCAGACGCAGTTCCAGTTGCCGGCGTAGTCATTCATTCATGCTCAGATGTTTAAGAACAATAAATTTGTGTGTGTGTGTGTGTGCGGGCGTGTGTGTTCCTGTGAGTGTGTATGTGTGTGTGTCGCAGACAGACTAAATGTTTGGCAGCGTCGTCTGCCGGCTGCAAAACCCAATGACAAGACAGGCACCGACATATTTGCGTCCAACAGGAGTCGCTGCCGGAGCCGCAGATAGAGCTAGAGCTGGAGCTGGAGCTGGAGTCGGAGCCGGAGACGGAGCCGGAGCATTGTGGTGGCCATTATCATCAGTGGCAGCAGTCGAGTGGCTCGGCATTTACATCATAACATGGCCAGCTGATGGATAGACAGATAACCAGCATTAGCATTAGCGGCACGATGATGACTCACCTCCAACTCCATGCAGTGCCCAGTTCCAGGCCCTGCTCCTGGCCTGTGCGTGTGGGCGTGCCACACGCTGATGCTTAAACATGCGGGTAAATTATCTTTTCATTTCCGTCAACGTCGTCGCTGTCGTCGTGGCAATTGCCACGTCCTCCTGCAACATCCGCAGCAGCGGCAACTTTGCGGAACTACAGTCGGTAGCGAACGACTAGCAGATACCCTTTATTGAACATTTTAAATTTATCGGCTTAGCAAAACAGATGGAGTGGCAAGCAAGAACAATCGATTTCGGACTGCAGATATCGTAAGCTCAATGATAACTATCGAATCGACTGTTGATCTGCAGGCTTCGCAGCTATTCTCTCGGTCATTTTCAAAGGTTGCAGGGTATAGTTAGTGGGCAGCACCGATTTAATTGCCGGGCATTAAGCATGTTAGCAATCGAACAGGTCGTCCCTTGAAACTGCCCCCCCCCCCCCCCCCCCCACCGGGACCAGTGACTGATCAAGTCCCATGTCGAGTTTCATTAATGGCCACATTTTGTCGCTGTGTGCGGCATTTTAAGGCAGCTTAAGTCAAATTTTCCTTGCGCTAATTGTTTCATCAAATTATGCACGCAAAAAGCACGCCTTGCTGTGTGTGCATGTGTGTGTACGAGTGTGCAGTTGTGTGTGTGTGCGTGCTTTCAAGTCGACGACCATTTTGGCATACACGATGCAGAAATTTATCGTAAGTTCATAATTATCGAGATGCATACATATATTATATTGATTGCTCGCTGAATGTTAATTGCCCCTTTGATCCCATTAATGAGCACTTAAATAACAGCGGTATTCCCTCTTTTAAGGTTATCACACAAAACTGACGATAATTATTGGTGAATATCTATATCTATTCTGTTCTATCGATTCGTGAGTTGTTCTTTAAAATTCCACATTTAAAAATATACTTCGGTATAAATATTTTTCCTATATACTTTTATTTTATTCATTTTTATTCACTCTTTTAAGAAATGTTGCGTTCATTTCTGGCACACAGGTATTTAAACTAAGTTTGCGTCGTGAAAACCTATTATATATTTCAAGTATATCTTACAAATTCAAATACATTCAAATGCATAATCGACTGTGATGTATATATAACTTTTCTTGCACTTGCAATGGCCATGCGATTAATATCGATACTCAAGGTGTTCTGCTATCGATCACACACACACAGAGCCAGCGTTGCCACTTGATGAGCATCTTTTTGGCATTTCGACCCCTCTTCAGCCTTCTCAGCACAACACCCATGCAAGCTGCATGCTTAATTTGCAGTGCGAATTCCCCAGCGCGTTGTGATAAACTACCGAATTTGAACGTGACAAAAGTTGTCGATGACAAAACAACAACAGGAATATGAACAGGTCTGCAGAGGGGAAAGGGTGGAATGGTAGAGGGGAGGGGGGGGGGGGGGGGTTTGGCATTGCTTGTTAGACGAGCCGAGCAGCCGCACAACAAACAGCAAAATAGAAATGACTTTAATAGCTCATCAATGATTCAAGCGGAAATCCGGGCTGTCCAAGTGCAGTCGGTTTATTGGATACCGGAAGGGCATTATGTTGCCGTTGCCGTTGCCGTTGTCTATTCGTCCCTGTCTGTTGCGCTGCTGCTGTGGTTGTTGTTGTATATTTGTTTGATTGGGCTGACTGACTGCAGCAGCTGTAGTTGTGTGTGTGTCTGTGTGTGTCTGTGTGTGTGTGTCTGTGTGTGTGTGTCTGCTTAGCTGAAATGATTTTCACGCTGCCCCCAAAAAGTATGCAACGAAATTTGCATATTGTTTTGTCGTACGTCTACGCCCTGCCACGTGCGTGTGTGTATGTAGCACAACATATGTACCCCAGCTATTGTTTGTGTGTGTTTTGTTTTTTTTTGGTAGTCAACTCACACCTCAATCCAGGTACACAGCCTGGAAATTGCCCCACAGCCCTTTGGGCCTGTCTGCCTCGACATCGGCATTGGCATCGGCTCGGCCTCGAACTCTGTGATCCCGCACCCCGTCCTCTGGCCAGTTCCATTCTCGGTTTTATCTGGCTGTGTTTGTTTGAACATATCTGCATCATTATTATCATCATTATAGATGGCACACGGCCAGTGGCTATGTGACAGTAGCCGCTTGGCTTTTGTATCTCATTTATTATGCAAATCTGAACGAGACTGCAACTCGAACTGGGACTCGGCGCACGGGACGGGAATTGGGAATGCTTATCGGTCTGGGGCTTGATTGTGCCATGTGGGCGCCGTGCCTTCAATATGGGCGGCAACTGGTCAACAAGTTCAACAGCTACAACAATTATGTTGTTGCACTCACACGCAACAGCAACAACAACAACAACAACAACAACAACTGGACTCAACCAGCCTCATACTCATCAGCAGCATTTGGCATCCTGTCGCCTTCGTCTATTACTCAGCAGCTGCCAGCAATTATAGTTGCTGGTTTATAGTATACCCTGGCGAGAGGTATTTAAACATCCCCATGAATAGTGTCTCATACTTGTCTAAATATAACGCATAGACAGACTCGTATTTTTTAAAGCTAGCTACTCCCTGTTGGTATAATGATGTGAATTGGTCATTTTTTGGCATTTTGCTGCAGTCAGTTTCTCTATACATATATCAAAACTAGTTGAATCGGTTTACTATATCTTAGATATAGATTTTAATTAAAAATCAATTAAATGTTACATTTATATTTCACAAGGGCATTTTATGCTTGGAACATCAAAATTAACACTTTTAATATATTTTATTTGTTTTAAATTATGTAAGTAATTAAAACACACAACGTGCTAATAAATAATGACGCTTATCAAGAGCGCGTTTTATAATTTATTGAAAATTCAAAATGTATTTGGTGTACTTCCAAAATGCATTTAAAATTGCAAACGAAGCCCTCTCGACTAGAATATACTCTGTAAACAGGCTTAGAACATAAGAAACTTCCAAAGGATTAGCAGTTCTCGTTAGATAAGTTAACCGAGTAATCCAATAAGATATGGCAACTGAAAATCGATTTCAATCTCTTTACTTCCATATACACACAAATACTTAAGTTGCAATATCTTCTCAATACAGGAGAGAATATAAATGGTAATATACTATAGATATATATATATATATTATAGTAATAGATTATGCCACACTCCAAATAATAGACAAATTATAATTCGAAAAAATAGATGGTAAAAGGGAGAAGCTGGCAGAGAGCGAAAAGAATTGACGCCTCGCAATAACAAAAAGTAAATAAAAATTTCAATTTTTCAGTGTTAATCAATTACGTGATTTAATTGAAAATGCCAAAGTCAATAACAAAAAATGTAAATATACAAATATAAAAAAAAAATATAAGCCCTTAAACAAATAATATATACAAATATATATGTA